CACGGAGGCAACCCAGCTTTCCCAGCAAGGGGAGCAAGACCACCCTGCAGGTGCTGCTGCTCTTTCCCATTGGGCTGATTTCCTTGCAGCTGCTTGCGTGAGTTTTCGATGAGCAATTACTTTTACCTACTTTGTGCTGTTCTTCTTAATCATTAGCAGGGGATGAAAATTTGCATTATTTTTCTTTCACATTCTGCTAAGAATAAACCCTAAACATAATTTGGAAGGTTAGGTAGGACCGGGATCAGAAGTCAAATTTACGCTCCCATGTGAGAGGACATCAGCCGTTCATATGTCTCACTGAGTCTAACTACCGAGGTCCTACTGACATGATTAGCTACTATAATTCAACGGCCGGACTTCTCAGCTTTGGGCTTCAAGGGCTACGCCTCTTTTATCTCTTCAAGGTCCCCAGCAGCCTCAGCCAACTTCTGAGTCCCTCTAAGGTTAGCAGCCACTCAGGCTCAGCCTGATGTTTGGGTTCACCCTGCCCACCCCACAGCCCATGGCTGGGGCCTGTGGGCATGGACTGTGGAGGCGGACTCTCTACGCCAGTCTTTCCTCAGCAAGGTGCAAAGAGGGAGACGTGTTCTGTGGCAACCATGGCCAGTATGTTCTGTGGGCAGAGTTCTGGGAACAAAATGAACGTGGATCTCCCCGGCCTGAGGGTGGGTGAAGGAGCAGGAGAGCTGTTCCCCTGGCTCCTTAGAGGAGCTGGGGTTCTCACCTCCCAGGACCTCCTGCTTAGGGAATCACACACCTCTGCTTCAGACTGGGAACTGCTTTCCAGAAACTTTCAAAACGAAAAACAGAACAGCTTTATAGCACGTACTGCCAAGAAGTTCCTTCTGATAACTAACTTGAGCCCTTTGAGCTACAGATATAGCTTATTTTATTTTGGCTAACTTTTATTAGAGATGGTGCACAATAACCTTCTATAAAAGTTTTTTATCCTTACCCAAGGACATGCTTATTTGATATTTTGATATTTATTTATTTTTTTAGAGAGAGAGGAGAAAGGAAGGAGAAACAAGTAGAGAAACATCGATGTGAGAGAGAAACACCGATTGGTTGCCTCTCATTTGTGCCACAACTGAGGACAGAACCCATAATCTAGGCATGTGTCCTGACAGGGAATTGAACCCACGACCTTTTGGTTTGCAGGATGACACTGCAACCAACTGAGCCACACTGACCAGGGCTACTTAACCTTATTCTTTTCAATTACAATTGACATTCAATATTATTTTATATTAGTGTCAGATATACAGCAGTGTGGCTAGGCAATTAGATAATTTACAAAGTGAATCCCCAGGTCATTCAAATACCCACTTGGCACCATACATAGCTATGACAATGTTATTGGCTATATTTCCTATGCTCTACTTTACCTTTCCGTGACAACTCTGTAACTACCAACTTGTACTTCTTAATCTCTTCATCGTTTCACCCATCTCCTAACTCCCTCACTTCTGACAACCATTCATTTGTTCTCTATATCTCAAGTCTGTTTCTGTTTTGTTTATTTTGTTCTTTATAGTCCACACATAATGAAATCATATGGTATTTGTCTTTCCCTGACATTTCACTTAGCAAAATTCCCTCTAGGTCCATCCATGTTGTTCTCAAATGGTAAGATTTTATTCTTTTCTATGACCAAGTAATATTCTATTTCATATATACTATATATTCTGTATCCATTCATCAGTCAGTGGACACTTGGGCTGCTTCCATATCTTGGTTATTGTAAATAATGCTGCAATGAGCATGGGTGCATATGTCTTTTCAAATTAGTGTTTTGGATTTCTTTGGACATATACGCAAACGTGGAATTGCTGGGTCCTAAGGCAGTTCCATTTTTAATTTTTTGAGGACCCTCCAACCTGCTTTCCACAGTGGCTGCACCGATCTGCATTCCCACCAATAGTGCATAAGGGTTCCTTTTTCTCCACATACCAACACTTGTTTTTGATACACTGATGATAGTCATTCTGACAGGTGTGAGGTGATAGCTCATTGTGGTTTTAGTTTGCATTTCTCTGATGATTAGTGATGTTGAACATCTTTCCATATGTCTATTAGCCATCTGTTTGTCCTCTTCGGAGAAATGTCTATTCAGGTCCTCTGTCCATTTTCTAATTGGATGGTTTGTTTTATGGTATTAAGTTGTATGAGTTCTATATTAATTTTGGTTATTGATCCCTTATCAGATGTACCATTGGCAAGTATCTTTTATTCAGCATGTTGTCTTTTTGTTTTATTGATGGCTTCCTTTGTTGTGCAAAACTTTTAGTTTGATGTGTTTCTATTGCTCAAGGAAATATTTCAGGGAAAAATATTGCTAAGAGAAATGTCAGAGAGTTTACTGTCTATGTTTTCTAAGAGTTTTATGGTTTTTAACTCTTTAATCCATATGGAGCTTATTCTTGTATATGGTGTAAGAAGGTGGTCTAGTTTCATTTTTTTGCATGTATCTGTCCAATTTTTGTAACACCATTTATTGAATAGACTGTCTTTACCCCATTGTATATTCTTGCCTTTTTGGTCATATAGTAATTGACCATGTAGGCGTGGGTTTATTTCTGAGCTCTCTATTCTGTTCCATTGACCTGTGTGTTTTTACGCCAGTACCATGCTATTTTGATCTTTTTAATGTATTGTTGGATTTGCTTTGCTAATACGAAAATTTTTGCATCTATATTTATCAAGGATATTGTCCTATACTTTTCTATTTTTGTAATGTCTTTGTCATGTTTTGCAATCAGAATAATCTGGCCTCATAAAATGAGCTTGGGAGGCTTCCCTCCTCTTGAATTTTTTGAAATAGTGTGAGAATAGGCATTAGTTCCATAAAATTAAAGATCTCTCTAGCTTTTCTCCTTCAGAGAGAATTTGGATTTCCATAAACTTGTATCATAGCCTTATTACCCAAACCTTTTGTTATCTTTCTCAATTGTAGTTTTGAACCCTCTCCAAAACTTGTCTTTTGAGTTAGAAAGACCATGACTTAATGAGCTCTTTCATTTCCAGAGGGTACTCCTAGTGCTAAAAGAAAAGCAAATTTCAGCAGGATATATTTCATTGGGGGAAGGGCATAGAAAAAAAGAAAGTGTATCCTTTGTATAAATAGCACATTGTACCTCAGATGAGTTTTCCTTTTCTCAACTGTTTTTGAATCGGTAAGTCTTTTTGATTAATTCAATCCCTCAGAGATTCTAACTTCTGAAACACTGCGATCTGCATTCTTCTGCTGGGTGTGTGGCTTCTGGATCCGAAGACAGGCAAGGTGTGTGGCCTCCGCCTGCCGAGGAGACAGTAAAGGACACAGGGCTGGCAACAGGGCTGCCATTAAGCACCTTATGTGGGAGTGGGGGAGGAGGAATATCTGTTTTCCAGTCTCTTCCGCAGCAGCTTCTGTTCTGAGGGGTTCATGGCGTCAACCTGGCTCCTTCATTCTCCCTCTTGCTGTAGACAGGCTTCTGTTCCGTGACGCTGTTCTCCTTTGCTGTGCGGATTTCTTCATCCTGATCCTTCGGGACTTGTGCTCAGATTCCCAGGGGGGAAAGGAAGCCATTGGACTTACTGCGGGCTGTGGGGCGGAGCGGCGCAGCCTGGCCCTCGCTCTGGGCAGCTACCTGACTTCCCTCCCCCACCCCTGTGTAGAATGAAGAACTTGGGTTGCATATGACCTCTGAGGTCCCTCCAGGATCCTCACAGCATCGCCGTTCCCATTGTGCCATAGAGGGACCAGGAAAAGGAGAGAGGAGTTGGGTTCAGCAGCCAATTAGGAGAAGGAGACTTTGAGAAAGTGTTGATTTAACTAGAATTTCCTCCCCTCCCTCCTCTCTCCCTGGGACCCAGAATCAGTGTAGCATGAAAGGATGGGATGACTGTGCATTGGTCACCTCCTGTGTGTCACGCACCATACAAGCAGGTGTCTTTCGCTGCCACAGCCCCCATGCAAACCCCACCCGTCCCTACCCAGAGGAGTCTACACCTTCAGGTCTCACTGCAGTGTCACCTCCTTACTGGAGCTGTCCCCGACCTGTCAGCCTAAGTTAGGTCTCCCTGTCCTATGATATGGTTCCCTGTACTTCCCCTTCCTTGCCCTGACCACAGATGTAATTAACTAATTCCCTATATAATGAGCATTTTCATGACTCTGGGCTGAACTCTCCAGGAGGGCAGGGACCATGAAGTCTTGTTTTACGCTGAACTCCTAGAGCTTAGCACAGCGCTGACAAAGTAACGGCAACTCCATAAGTGTTTCTTGAATAAACATAAGCATGAATGTATGAATGGATGGGCAAACAGCAAAGTTGGTTACAAACCCAGGACCCTCTGGCTCTTGGAGACCAGCCTGAACTTTCCACAGTGCTCTGCTGTGCTTGTACACAGGGTCTTGCTCTTGAACCATCCTTGCTTCTCCAGCAGTGGGGTGACGGCAGCCCTGGCCGTGACCCCAGAGAGGTCTGTAAAGTATTGGAGATGATGGATGCAGCCTGACACCGGCGGTGGTGCTGGGAGGGGGGTGGAAGGAGGCCCCGAACTGAACCAAACCAAATGTCCTTGTGGGCGGTCAGCCCCGCGTTCTGACACACTTTGCCAAGGGGCTGCTGATAAACAAACAATGGTTCGTAAGGGATCTGGGTCCCTAAGGGATCTGGGTCCGTAAGGGCGGGTGGATGAAAATGAAGGAGGAGAAACCAAGACACAACGACCTTCAGGGAAGCAGAAATAAAACTATTGTGGAACCTGCTGAAAATGGGCTGCAGGGGCTGTCAGGCTGCAAGCAGATCCAGGGCTAATCAGAGGGAAATTAATTCCAAGTGCTGTGTCCTTATGCCAGCTGGGACCCGGGGGGAGTCCGCTGCCCCGCTCTCCCCCCACCGCCGAGGAGGCTGGGATGTCTCTCGCTTCACACTCAGCTCTTGCCACTGTGATGAGAAAAGCTGATACGAGGCTAAAAATACTAACAATAGAAATTTGATTTCTTCCAGACAAAAAGCCTTGGCATCCACAGGAGGAAGAAGTGTTCAGGCAGCATGTGACTGGTTAGTATAAAATAAATAAGTTGAGAAAATAGCATATAATCAACTCTAAGTATGTGCGGATGAGCAGCCCCTCTTTAATGAGTCCTGGGGGGAGGGGGCTTTTTGAGGGGGGCCGCTGAGTCAAAAGGCCATGTGACCAGACGGTTTGTCCGGCAGAGGCCTTCTTGCCCTGGCCCCAGACCGTGCTTCCCTTTAGCAATGGTTATGGAAGTTCAAAGTACTTCTAAGGAGAGTCCCTGTCATGAAATCTGCCCTCCCTCCAGCCACTTAAAGATACACTTAAGTGTGAGGCTGCTGGGCAAATCAATTTAGAAAAAGCCTACTTACCCTCCAGGACATCGCCATGCAGGCCACCTACAAGGTGACGCTCCCAAGCTTCCCTTGTGTTGTGGAGGCACATGGGTTTAATTGTAGATGGAACCGAAGGACCAGGCCAGGTTGAAAATGAACTGGTGGACGAGGAAAGGATTGGGGGTTTATCTGAGAAGGCTTCCTATAGAATGACTTCAGGTTCTTACAGGGAGTTGTGGGGGGCAGATGCAGTAAGACAGGCAGGAAAGAGGTTGTTGGGTCTGAGGGCTGGTTACCAAGTGGGAGCTTCGAGGGCTAGGTTTTTGTAAAAGCACAAAAATGAAACCCTTCCCCTTGCAGTGTCTGGAGTGTCACTCATGCAGAGGGCGGGCCTGTCTCTGTGAAGTCTCCCTTCCCTTCCATCATTCTCAAGCAAGGCCCGCCTAGCTCTCTTCTCCTTCTCCCTTGCAGGCTGTTCTCCCACGTGGGTGACCCCTTCCTGGATGACCCCCTGCCCCGGGAGTATGTGCTCTACCTCCGCCCGACGGGCCCCTTGGCACAGAAGCTCTCCGACTTCTGGCAACAGTCAAAGCAGATCTGCGGGAAGAACAAGGCGCACAACATCTTCCCCCACATCACCCTCTGCCAGTTCTTCATGGTGAGCCTGGAGCCCCATCCCAGCCTGCCTCTCGGACCTGGAGCCCCAGCCGGGAGACTCTCGGGAATCCGGCAGAAATAGCCATGGGCTCCCAGCCTCGGGTGGGCCTTCGGGGAATCAGTGAGGCCCACAGCTCCTCCTGTTAACGCCCTGGGGCCAGGGCACCTGGGTTCCGTGTGGCGTCAGGATGCCGTGTGCGCCTCAAGACCCTAGGGACAAACCTGGCCCACTTGCTGACACGTTGGTCTGGCAGCCACCATGGGAATGGCTTCACTGAGCCACTTCGCCCTTGCCTTTCCCTCTTACAACAAGGAAAGTAGAAGTTAGGGAGCTAGGAACGAAAAACATAGTCTATAGACAGAGAAAGCCATGTGAGCCACGTGGCCACCATCCACAGCTTTTGTCTCGGTAGGTTTCTCTAGAGATGTCAGATACCTTTCACCTGGCACCGTACCCTAGCCCATAATCCCAGCTACCACAAAGTTTATTTGATGACCAAATTAAATCCCTGTCCCGATAGTAAATGCATCAATCTACTTTAGCTCTCTGTGGAGATGTGAAAGGATTGATTTATACAGGTATATTCAAGACAAGGCAGAATGGTAGTGCTTTAATATTTTGTTTATTTTCTCTTTGTCCCCTCCCTCTCTCTCTTAGATAAAAACATGTTCCTAACACTTTCTTACCATTCACTCAAAAATTAAAATGATTATCACTTCCTCTTAGTCACCCTGGCTGTGTGACAACCTTTCAGGGTTTTAGAGACACTCAGTCTTCCTTCCAGCGCCCTGGAGCCGGGTGCGGGCGGCCGCCACAGCTCTGTGAGCTCGCCCCCCGCCCCCTGCCCCCGCCCACGGTCACAGGAGTGGAAGCAGAGCCAACCCCCGACCACCTGGGAGGGGCGGGAAAAGCATGGATGATGCCCAGAGTAGAGAACACATAAGAAGGTACCCTAGGGTACTGTGTGTTCTCCCAGGACGTTCTCTTTGGGCGGACCGGAGCCCGGGTCAGGCGGGGTTCCCAGGGTCACGGCGGGGCAGGGAGGGAGCGGAGCGTCGGCCGTTGCCGCGTTTAATTTACCAGTGAGGTAGCCCACTTCCAGATACCTGGGGGCTGGCGGCTCTTCTCCCTCCTCCTGGGCAGAGGCGACAGTTCAGTAGCTCGCAGCCCGCTCGGGGCAGAGGACGCGGCGCCGCAGCGCCGTGGGCCCTCCCGCCTCTGAGTGGAGCTGCCGCTCTCCCCAGTGCGAGGACAGCAAGGTGGACGCGCTGGCGGAGGCGCTGCAGACCACGGTCGGCCGCTGGCGGTGCAAGTTCTCCTCCCCGCTGCCCCTGGAGCTCTACACCTCGTCCAACTTCATCGGCCTCTTCGTGAAGGAGGAGAGCGCCGAGGGTCTCAAGAAGTTTGCCGCTGACTTTGCTGCGGAGGCTGCGTCCAAAACCGGTGAGCGCCAGCCCCGACCTCGTGCTGCTGCGGGGGCCGGGGGCTCCCCTTTGCCGCAGGAAGGCGACTCGCTCACGGGGTGGGGCCTCTCCGTCCTCAGGCGGAGGGAGGCCGCGGGGTGCGGGCTGGGGGCCCAGGCAGGAGGAGCAGGATGCGCACAGAGCATAGGGGCCTGCAGAGCACAGGGGGCGCAGCCGGCGCAGAGACGGGAGGCCTGAGTGCAGCCCTGCCGTGTCCCTGCCTCTGACCTTAGGCCTCCACCTCACCTGCCTGTGCCCCTTTCTGCTCCTCTCTCATCCCCATCTAGGGGCTTCTGCTTTGCCTCCTTCTTGGCGAGGAAAGCCCTAAACGGGGCCGGGCCGCGGGGAGGGTGTGGCGAAGCCTGGCATCGCTGAGCGAGCTGGTGAGGTCTCTGCTCCGGATGACCTGCAGGCCTGCAGGACGGCCTCTGTGTGGGGCGGGGGCGTGCAGAGCCCTCGCCGGCTCGCTCTTCTCCGGGCGCGCGAGCGCCCCCTGGCCTCGGGGGAGCCTGTCGGTTCGCAGGAGCTTGCTGCTCAGAGAATGGCATCGCAGGAGGGAAATGACGTCCTGCTTTTGTCTCTGTGTCTCAGGGAAAGGGCTTTGTCGTCCCCCAGCAGCTACTGTCAAAACCACTACAACGCTCCAAAAAACAAAACTAACGTTGTAGCCACAAAACCCAAACTCTTCACTCAAAATGAGTCAAACAGCTTTCAGCCAGGCCCTGCTGAGGGAGAGGCAGGCGGGCCGGCAGGCTTTCCTTGCGGGAAGGGGGCGCGGTTCCCCAGCCCAGACGCGAGGCTCCGGGCGCGGCAGGCTGGATTCTCCGCCCTCGCCCGCCCCCTGGTGGTGGCAGGGAGCACTGGGGGCCCGGCCTCGCCCTGCGCCGCGGGCCTGGCTCCTCCAGCCTGAGAGGAGGCCGTTCTGGCGTTTCCCTGCACCTTATGCCTTGGTATTCCAGGTCGCTTCAGCAAGTGGACTGAGTGTTATCCTCCATCCTGGGTCCTATAAGGAGATTCACGCACGTGTATCTTTGTTTATTTAACAAGTACTGAGAGCCTGTCTGTGCTAGCCCTGGGATACAGCGTGAACAAGATCCAAAGCCCTTGCCTCTTGGAGCTCACACCAAAGAAATACAATGCAGTATAATAGAAAAAGCCCTCGGAACCAAAAGGACCAGCCTCTGCTTCCATCTCTGAGTGACTTGAATAAGCCCCTTATCTCTCAAATTCCCCACACTCCCTCTGGCCACGTCTTCTCTGTGTCCAGCCTGGACAGCAGAGATGTACAAAAGAGAGATAAGAGCTGGTCCTCTGAGGGTAGATTGGTTGGCTTTATTTTCTTTCTGAGGATGCCTTAGAATAACAGTCTGTCTACTTTAAACCAGTGGTTCTCAACCAGGCCAGTCTTGCCCCAGGGGACGGGCATGGACAACGTCTGGGGTCATTTTGGTTGTCCCAACCTGGGGGGTGCTATGGGCATTGGGTGGGTAGAGGCCACAGAGGCAGTTAAGGCCCTGCAATGCACAACAAATAATTATTTGACCCAAATGCTCTGAGAATCCTGTTTTAAACTTTGAAAATATTCTTTTTCTTTTATTTCTCCATCAGAGCCACCCAGAAGCTAAGAGACTTGATTTCAAAACAAAGGCAGTGTACCTTTGGGAATCACATGATTACAAAATTTGCTCTTTATTGCTGCATAAATCTGTTGCCGCCTCAGGCCTCAGTTTCTGCATCTGAATGGTAGGGATGGGGATCATCGGAGTTGTTGTGAGGAGGAGCCAAACCGAATGATCACCTCTCGGCTGATCCATGGCTCCTACAGAAGTGTTGCTCTTTCTCTCTCAAACTGTGGGTGGGCTCAGGATTTGTTGCCCACCCACCCCCTTTATTCTGCTGCTGTGAAGGAGAGAAACAGCTTTTGTCTGACAGTGGACCCCGTCCTTTGTTCTTGGGGAGCCGGTTTCCATGCTCTTGTGGAAGCCTCCCCTGTTGCCATGATCCCCGCATCCGAGTAACTGGCTGTTTCCTTCCTCTTCCAGAAGTCCACGTGGAACCTCATAAGAAGCAGCTGCATGTGACCCTGGCTTACCACTTCCAGGCCAGCCACCTGCCTACCCTAGAGAAACTTGCCCAGAACATCGATGTCAAACTAGGGTGCGACTGGGTGGCCACCATATTCTCTCGGGATATCCGGTTTGCGAACCATGAGGTAATGTCTCACTGTGGCCCCCGCCACTCCCAGCACCACAGGTGCAGTCAGCAGCTCACTGCGGCAGGGACGTGGGCCCCAAAGCAAGCCCGTGAGGCAAGACCAGATGAGATGCCTGTGGCCCAGGACTTTGTCCAGGACTCTGTGCGATGCAGTAGGAAGCTGTGAGCCTGCATCCTTCCTCTCTGGGTGCCAAGCGGCCCATCTGTGTCTTAGCCCCATGGTTCTCCTGCCCAGCCAATTTTATTGGAATGACACAGAATTGAAATGGGAGAGGAGGTGGAAAAGTAGGTTGGAAAATTTTAAATATTCTAGCAATTCATGGTGGTAATAGCAGACATCATCCTGATCTTAGGTGAGAAGAAGAGCACATAAGTAAAAAAAAAAAAAAAAAAAATCTGTGAACGCACAATCAACACATATTTGCTGACTATCTGCAACATGCAAGGTACCATGGAACATACTAAAATTCTAAAGTGCAGTGCTGTCTTCAAGGAGCTTTGAGTGCAGCAGGGGAGAGACAACAGGCACGCGTGAAATGACAGCACAGCGTAAACACCGTGAGGGTCTCAGTGCGTCACACGGGAGGCATGAGCGGGAAATCTGAATCCCAGTGCAGGCGGAAAGGCTGGCATGGTCCTTGCATTATTGTTTGGAGGGGACCCACGTTGCATTCCAGGACAAGCGTGTGCCATCTCTGAAAGGTAACATAGTCCTTTTGATCCCTGAAGGAGAAGCTGAGACACAAAGAGATTAAGTGGCTGGTTCAAAGCTAAACAGTAATTTAGGACCAGTGCTGAAGCCAGAATTTGGGCATGCAGACCAATAAAGATGCACAGTCCATCACAAAAGGGACCTCATAGTTGGATGAAAAATTTGTCATCCAGTTTAACTACCTTTATTAAACAACACATATTTGTTTCTTAGTTTTTCAACTGAAGAACTGACTTTTTAAAGTTTACATAGCCTTTTAACATCTCTTTTAGGTATTTCTTTTAATATGAAAAATAGAACCTCAGGGTTTAGACCAGGCAACTTCATCATCGATTTGGAAGTGCTGGGGAGAGCCAGCCGTGCACCCAAGGCCCAGGCCTCGTTGTGGGGCCTGTGAGTGTCAGGGACAGGGGCTTCATCCGACTCTGCTGGCAGGAATGCTGTGTCCTCCTTCTGAGTCATTCGATGAAAGTTTCTGTGAAGACACAGGAGCCTGGGCTCGATCTTACTTAAGAATTCTGACTTCTCCTGGAATTACTGAGAATGAGCCCTAAATATAACAAGAGGTTTGGCTGATTGGACTCTTCCCTTCTGAGAGCAAAGAAAAAAAATAAGGGTTGCATTCATCCAAATGGACTCCGAGAAGTGGTCTTTCTAGCAGAAGGAAGGTGGCAATGGAATTTTACAAGTAATCTTTTCTAATCAACACTGTCCTCCAGTTAACCCAAAGGGTAATTGCTTTTCTGCCTGACCCACATTGTGCTCAATCAGCACTGAGGGAAGCAGGCAGCGAGCATGCACATGAATTATTTTCTAAAAATAACTTGGCCTCTTTTATCTCTTATTTGTTAAAGCTCGTTTGTTACTGTTCCCTCTGATCAAGCTCTTTCTCTGAGGTCATTTGGATTTACCTCAGCCCCTGCAAACGTAAACCTCTTCTTGCCTTTTCTCTTCTGTTCCTGGGTGGCACGTTTGATTGGTCATTCCAATGAACTAACATTAGGTCATTCCAATGAACTAACGATGCCCAGAAAAGAAAGTGGTGTAGGCAAGTACACCCAGCCAGTGATACACAGGACAACTGCTGCGTCTCACCCCGCTGCCGTCTGGAGTCTCCCTCCACTGGGACTTGGAAATGCCATCGTAGTGACACGTGGGCCAAGCAAGTTGTACATGCTGAGCAACAGAAATCCAGAGGAAGGACAGACTTGTACATAAAAAAATTCTGGAGTCCAGCACACGTGGCTTCAAATCCTGGCTCTGTCAGCCCGCAGTTGTTGAGTCACTTTTACAATTTCTGTATCTCCAGTCCTTCAGTTTCTCACATGTAAAATGATGGTATTTTGCTGGACTGTTGCATGGACTAAATAAAAGGATCTGTGGGAAGGCCTGACACAGAGCAGGTGCAACAACAGCAACGACTGAAGCTGCAGCTATTGCTGTTACTAAGAAAAAGGGCTCTGAAGGTAAAGAAGTTCAGTGTCTGCCATCACACAGGGCTGCTCCTGTCCTTCCCGCGAGCCCAGTCACAACCCGTGTGCTTAGTCCCTGTGTGGGAAGGGAGATGAAGCGTCCTTGAGACCGACTCAAGAACTCTTACACACAGATACCAAACCAAAGAGGAAATCGACGCCTGCGTTCTGATCTCTCAAACTCAGACTGCCTCTTGTGTGTGTGCTTCGGAGGAGGAGGGGCGTGCACACCACTCACAGTTTTAGATTTGCTGCAATGCCTCCATGTTGTGTTGTGTTGTTTCTTTGCTTATCCAGTACGTCAAATCTGCTTTCTGTCTGTCCACTCTCTGCCTAGAACACCCGGTCTCTGAGGCTCCTTTGCTGCCCCTACATTTCCCTGGAGTGAGGTCCTTTCTGAAGTCATTTAGAATTTCTGAGAGAAAAGGCACGGAGGGGCCACAGGCACCCTTAGCCAAGACTCTGCTGTGCTTGAGCATCTAAGGACCGCGAGTCTGGAGTTGCTCCCCATGGTCCGGGGCCTCGCTTCACCCTGTTCCAGGGAAAGGATGACCCTTTGGGTGGATCATCCCATACCTGACTCAGAGGTTTCTCCTGAATACCTTTTTTCTTTCAGCTGTTTTAACAACCTAGCAGAAAACCTCCCGGGGTAGTTTGTGGACATGGTTTGGCGTGTGTGTGAGGCAGTGGGAAGGGAAAGGAGTGGAGAGGTGATCGGGGAGGGCCAAGAAGACGTAGGGCTGACGGGTGCCAGCATGGGGAGAGGAATGGCACCCTGAACAAAAGGATAATCAGAAACCGGTGGTGCCGTCGAGTTCTGTGCATCATCACTTTCATTCTCTGAGAAAAATCACGTTTTTACTGGCCCCTTGCGGTCGAGGGTTCCAGAAGTAAAGCCTTCCTCTAAAGCCTGTTCGGACGAGTCCCGGCATCACTCACAGGCCTTCCCAGCACGGGGTCTGGGGCAGGTCGGTCAGGAGGGAAGACGGCACCTGGAAAAGGAGGCGTCGTGGCTCCATAGAAACAGTCAGGCCTCTTCTGGGCGCAAGGTTCTGTGCTAAGGCGTTTTCTTAGGTGGTCTCTTTTGACTTTTACTGTCCAGGCATTATTTTACAGATGAGACGGCTGAAGTCAAAGTGAAATGCCTGACAGTGGAACCAGGAGATAGGGTCGTCCCGAGTGGCTTCAGAGCCATAGGAAAGGCTGTTACAGAATCTCCGCCTTAGTGTCCCTTGTGAAGCAAATGGGATGGGAAGTGTTTTCCTTACTACTGAAGTCTCTGGTGGTTGATAAAAAAAATAGTAAAATGAATGTGTTCTGAAGTATCATATGCCTGTGCCTATGATGTTTACATATACCAGGAAAGGAAGCAAACAGCGGAATGGAGCCACTGAGCAGCATGGCCTCCGGTTGGCTCAGGGGGCTTTTTCTGAGTCCAGAAAAGGAACAGGAGGTCTTCATCTGTTTCCTGGTGAAAGCTGTTACACAGACTTACACGCTGATGACTACAAAAGAGATTTTCCTTTCAAGCTCTTTGTTAAAGGTGCACGTTTAAAGAAAGCTTTGAGGCTGGGCACCCAGTGTTGTTGAAGCAGCTGAGTTACACAGAAAGGGAAGTGCTCATTCCCACAGCCTTGCTTGCGGGCAGCCTCTGCTTCTGGCCCGTCCATAACCCCCTCGTGGAAGACTGACTTTTCATGAGCTTGGTCCCAAGTGTCCCTTACAGTGCCTGCCTGGCACTGAGCAGAGGAAACCAGGTTGGAGTGTGTACAGCAGTTTGTACAGCAGTTTACAGAAGAGCCTACGGGCTTTCAGATATTTCTAAAAACCATCTATGAACCCTGAAAAGAAGCAAAGATATGCCAGAAAGAAAGTCTGGAACCATCCAGTAACAGCAGGCACACACCCACTTTACAAAAAAAAAAAAAGAAGAAGAAGAAGAAGAAGAAGGAAGGAAAGAAAATGCTTTCTAATCTGAATCCAAATCTGCTCGGAGTCTGTGGCCCTCAGGGGCCCTACGAATGCCTGCCTCTGGATGTGGGCGCTCTGACAGCGGAACGCGCAGGTCTGCCCTGGCGGCACTGGGGCGGATGGGCCGGACGTGGGCCTCACGAATCCTCTCTTTCAGACGTTGCAGGTGATCTACCCCTACACCCCACAGAATGATGATGAGCTGGAGCTGGTCCCTGGGGACTTCATCTTCATGTCCCCCATGGAGCAGACGAGCACCAGTGAGGGCTGGGTCTACGGCACGTCCTTAACCACCGGCTGCTCTGGACTCCTGCCTGAGAATTACATCACCAAGGCTGATGAATGTAGCACCTGGGTATTTCATAGGTGAGCGGATGCCAAATTTTTTGCCTGCTGTTTTTTGAAAACCACTGCAGACTTTCAGAGGTGGGGGGGGGACGTGGACTTGACTGTAGACACACAGGGCAGCAGTTACCGTCAGGAGAGGCCATGGGGAGGAGAGCTCTGCTGCTCCGTGACTTCCGGGAAGGGCTGATGTGGGGCTTAGGAGCAGTGAGCCAAGGGTCGCCCCGCTTCACTCTGCCTGCCCCAGCCCACGTGACGGTCTGGCTGAGGTCGGATTGGAGACTACGCTGGGGCTGCTTCAGGGTCCATCTCTTATGGTCATCCTAGCGCTGAGTCTAAATGGCTTTCAGGTTTCTGTCCACTTTGTGCTGGGTCACTGCTCAGAGGGGTCCTGTGCCCCGCCCCCGCCCCCCGCCCGCCTGCCTAGCATCCAGGCAGATTGGCACCACACCAGCCAGGCCAGTGAGGAAGGGGGTGGCAAGTGTCAGGACGCCTAAACACCCTCCTTTAAGAGGTGGCGCTGAGCAAGTCCTCAGACTTGGTATTTGCATGATATTTGCATTCATGGAATGTGTTTAAGGAAATGGGCAACTGCCAGACCCCTAAAGAGACTCTTGGTCCCCCAGGCACCTTTAGAGTGATGACTTTCCAGCGATCCTTCCCGAAACCAAACTGCTTCCCTGTTCAGGTGGCCTGTGTGGTACAGTTAGCTTTGTCCCAGTAAACAAAATAGAAATAAAAGGCACCTTCTCTTTCTTAAGCAGAGAAATGCAAGGCCAGCTCCTCCCTGGCACACACAGGCGGCTCAGCAGCGTGAACATGCTGGTTGTTTTCCTCCCCGGTGTCCCTGCCATGTGCCGCCGTGGCTGAGAGCTGGGAGCCTGGGCGGCAGCTGCATGTGTCTAACGCTGCTATTGTCCCCACGAAGGAGAAGCAGAGAAGGGCGATTTCAGGGAGCGTTTTGCCTGCAGGGAGGAAAGAAGAGAAGTTCCCCTACCCTGGTTAGCAGCAAGCAGACAAACCACAAACCCAGAGATGGAAAAGAACATCTTTTTCCTTCCTGAATCACTCAGTTCCCAGCAACTCCCCCTTCCTTCCTTGGCACCTCCCACCCCTACCCAGTGAACATCAGCATTTGGCGGCACAGATTGGAAGTGCGAAACTGTTTCATGTTCCCCAAACATTTGCTTCTTCAGAAATGTTTCTGACTATGGAAATAAATAGTTGGGTTTCCAAAGTTACTCTTTTATCCCTATGAAGACAAGTGAAGTGTAACACACATGAATAAACTGAGAGCTAGAAGGTTCTTTGACGATGTGCAGCTCTTAGCTCGCATTCTTAGAAGTAGGGTTCCCTGCAGGAGAGCACTGAGACGCTCTGCTGGCCGGTGTCGGACCACGGTGCCCGAGCCCACCCTTGCCCACGGGAGGGCTCAGGCCGAGCCACGGGGGAACCTCTGAGCGCAGACCCCCATCACAGGGAGAGCTGTGTGTCGTCTCCTGTTACTTCGAGAGGTTACTAGTGATGCTGTTTTCCTAAGAACCATGTCTGAAATTAAACTATCGGTTTCCACAGCCCACCTGCTGAGAGTGGGGAAATAACTAACATTAGGTGTTAGACATTGTAATTAAGAATTTGACTTTTTATTCCAATAATCTTCAGTCCAAATTCCAACCCTCCCACTTACCAGTTGTGTGACCTCAGCCAAGTGACGTTACCTCTGTGAGCCTCTGTTTGTAAATCCATAAAATGAAGATGATAATTAATTGCAGTTACCTCACAAGGGTGTTCTGTCCTTCCGCCCTTCCTGGAGCATCTTGCCTGGTTCTGAGTAACCCTAGACATCTGCCCGTTGGTGAGCCCACCGTGTGCTCTGAATCGGGGTGGGCCGGTACTCAGGGCTGGTGTGTCCTAGGGCCATGCCACCGCCTCCCTGGTCCTCGTGAAGGTGTTCTGGGTGTCAGGGTCGGCTCCCTCCTTCCTCTGTTCCTGACACAAAGCATCTGACTGTTTATTGTCTTACTGGAGCTGATGTCCAGACCGGCCCACAGTGAGTCAGGTCATTTGCTCACAGTGACCGTTAAGGAAAGGGGGTGGCTTTCTCCTTGCCAGCTGAGCAGAAGGAAAGAGAGAAGGGATTCTCTCAGTGTCTTCATGGCGATGATAAATGAAGAAATTAAGGGGCAGGTACAGCACGATGTTGGGACAATTCCATCCAGACATTTCAGGCCCTAAATCTTTGATGAGTCAGAGAGTGAAATTGAATTTTCTTTAACTGTGTGATGTTTCGGAGGGTCTCAATTTAAAACAAAAGAGAACAGCCAGAGTCTATTAGACTGTGTAAATGGCACAAGATTTCCTTTATTTATAGTTACTTAATTTTACCAAAATAGGTCCCATTTGGCCACCCATCACACTTAACTGACGGAGCTTTGTTAAACTGGATTCCTGGTCCTGCCCCAAGACCTGCTCTATCGTAACCCAGGAGGAGTGGGCCCTGCGGCATGCATATTCCTTAGATCTCCCTGCGGGCTCCCACATCCGCCACGGCTGAGGCAGCGCTTGTTTAGGGTTCGAGGCTTCCACGACCTTTGTGCGGCAGCAGGGTGATTCTCCTCACACTTACAGGAAGGGACACCTTAGAGAGTGAGAGGGGGCTGAAGTTATTAAAATCATACAGTTTTTCTGAAAAATTTTTATTAGCAACCAGTTAGCTTTATTAAATCGGTGACTATAAAAAGTTCTTTTTAAAATGAAAATTCTAAGAATAATGTGTTAAAAATAAACAACCCAGAACTGATGTTAAACTGCAGATTCCTGGGTAAATGGATATAAACCAGGACTGCGCTGGACAAACTGGGCCTTGTGGCCACCCTGGTTAGTTGTAAAGAAGCGAGAAATCTAAAACTTAAGTATTCTCCCTTGCTGCTGCCCAGCGAGGTGGAAGGAGATAGTCACAGGATTCACCTAACAACCGTACTTAAATTGCAGTGTTTATTCGAGGAAGCTTTTTGGAGGCCTTAACTGATCAAAATGATTTAAACATGGCACCATTTGCTTCCTCCCGTTTAGCAAGACCTCCCTGGGGTTTCTGTAGTTACAGTGCTGCACCCAGGAATGGGTGCTTGGCTTGCGGCTCTGCACCTCTCGTGAGAGCGTTGTCTCTGGAGTGATTCTGTATTTAGTGATCTCGTTGGAGGCGGTGCTGAGGATGAAGAAGGTGGAACAGGGGATAATGGCCGCGAGGCTTCCTGGGCCACGAGGGCCGCAGGCGAAGCCGCGGAGGCAGTGCAGACGCTCCCTATGATGTGTGCGTTCAGGTGGAAGTCACCATAGAGCAGAGAAAAGGCAACAGGAATTTTTTTTTTTTTTTTTTGAGCAGAAAAGTAGCTGGAAACAATGGCACAAAACTGATCCCTCATTATTCTTTAATGTGACTTTGGTGCCAGCCATGCCTGTGGCATCCTAATAAGCACAAACTCAGACGCCCTGTCCCTGCCCAGAGGGATGAATTCATCTAATCCAAGTAGGGAAGTCCATCTACCCCTAATTATACTGCAGGGCTTCAGAATAAAACAAGGCGCCCCTCGCCAGGAAGGTACGCCCCAGGCCCACTCTCCCAACCATTGCACTGCCCAGGGGGCGTCTCCGCCGATTCCATACCCTGTTTGTCCAGCGTGACGTGCTGGTGACTCCTGGGCAGAGCCACTGACTTCTTCCTTCCCTTCCCCCGCAGTTCTTACTCGATCTTAAGTACAGCACCTTCCCCCGCTCTCTCGTTCGGTGAAGGCATGTTGGAGCGGCAGTTGTATGAGGACCAGGGCCCCGGGGAGATGGCGCCCCTGACTGTCATCTGCCAGCCTGCGCAGGTAAGGCAGACCGCCGGCGTCCCGTCCTCGGCTGCACTCAGGGTTCACAAGACGAGCACCCGTTGGCTAGTATGAAGCCTGTAGATACAAAAATTCAAGACTAGAGGAGTCAGGTGGGTGGTTGTGACGATGACTCCCAGCGTCTGGGCCTAGGCTGGTAAGGAGGGCTCTTCTGCAGAGAGGAGAACATGTTACCTGTACAATAGTAAGAGTTTATCTAGTTCATAGGTCATTGTGAAGATTAAAGGAAATAGGGTGGGGGAATGGGTGAAAAAAAAGTTGAAGAGTAATGAGAGGTACAAATCCAGTTATAAAATAAATAAGTTATAGAAATGCAATACAAAGCACAGAGAATACAGTGAATAATATCATGACTTTGTTTGGTGGCGGGTGGTTACTAGATATACCATGGTGATCATACCATAAGGTACATAAATGTCGGAGCACTATGTTATACACCTAAAGGTAATATAATATTGTATGTCCACTATATTTTCATGAAAAATACTGTAAAGGAAATAATAAGAATAAGGCTCTTGGCATAGTAGCTGGTGGATAATGAGTGTTTAGTGTATGTGTGCTTGATATCGCCAGAAATTGCAGAACAAAGAGTCAGAGTAGTTTGAACAATACAAAGGCAAATTGAAAGTTCAGATTTGTTGGGCATCAAGAGACTAGGTCGCTTTGGCTGGAGCCCAGGGCTTGAATTAGGGGAGAGTGAAAGGGGAGATGGAAAGGCCCTGCCACGTCCCACGTAGTAACTTTCTCAGGGCAGCTGGAAGCTACTGGAAATGCTGCCAATACGGAGCTGGCAGCACTAAGGAAACTGAGAATAGCTGACTCTGTCAGAAAGAAGACATGGAAACATCTATAACGAGCCACAGGCAGTTTTAGAAACCAAGGTCATCCGGACAGGCCTTTGACTAGACTTGCCTGTCTCATCGCCCCGGAGTGGCAGCTGTCCCCCCAGAACCATTTCTGGGGACGCCAACATGTATGTAGTTTGATGACAGAGCCTAAACTATGATTAGAATAGGTGAAGCAGGGCCTCATCGCTGGAAGAGGCCATTGGACCATGTGGTCTAACCACCGCACATTAGAGAGGTAAGGCAGGCATGTTTGTGATAGTAAAAGTCCTCGCCCCCTGAGAAGTCGATGGAGCCTCTCTTTAGGGGAGGACGCTACGCTGTCCCACTACATGGCTTTCTCTGCATGCTGGCTAGTTTTACCTCTGAGCTGTAACTCGAGTGGTGTTCATGTTAGTATTGGCCAGACACTACTCTTACTAACCACAGCAATAGCAATGATAATACCATGTTAATAACCCTTCTTATTTTTCAAAACACCTGCAGTTCATCTCATTTGAACCTCAAAATAACTTGGGGTCTGTAGGATGAGTCCTACTACCCCCATTCTACAGATAGGCCAAGTCATATCGTACATTAGCAAAGCCTGCTCTAGAACTCGGCTCCCCTGGTACCTGGTACCAGGACATGTCTACTTTCTCATGTTTTCCCAACTAATAACTTTTCTGTATTTGCAGCCTCTGAGGGTCAACAGCCAGCCTGGCCCCCAAAAGAGATGCCTGTTTGTGTGTCGGCATGGTGAGAGGATGGATGTGGTGTTTGGGAAGTACTGGCTGTCCCAGTGCTTTGATGCCAAAGGTGAGCGGCTGGTTGGCTTGTTCAGCATTGCTGTTCCTATCATGGCCTCTAGGGGGCACAGTCAAGCTACATTTATCTAGATGGAGTAATTTATGGTTAGGTGGGCGGTAGAAAAGCCTGTAATGTATTACATTCATAAGTCCTTCCCTGATTGCCTTGAGTGCTAGGGAAGAGGAGAGTGTTCTTGTGTGCGTCCTATAAACTGGGACACTGGGTACCAAAGGTAAATGTCTTGCCCCTGGTCATATGGCAACATCAGACGCAGGGGCAGATTTCCCAGCATGAATTCACCCTGATTCATTTTGGTTCCATTTTCCTTTGAGTAACCTGTTGAAGATAGGGATGCTTACATATCAGAGAGAAGCCCCCTGCTTCAGAGAGTCTGCTTGCTATTTCTACTTAAAAACTCTCTTGCCCTGACTAGTGGCTCAGCTGGTTGGGCATTATCCCTCAAAGCAAAAGGTCCAATCAAGGCACGTGCCTGGGCTGTGGGTTGAGTCTCTGGTTGGGGCGCATACAAGAGGCACCTGATCAATGTTTCTCTCTTACATCAGTGTTTCTCTCCCTCTCTCCCTCCCTTCCCATGTCTCTAAAATAAATAATAAAATCTTTTAAAAAAAATCTCGTGTCACTTTTGTCAGAAGAATAGAGGAGTAGATTCCAAGACATTCTAACAAAGGAAAAGTGTCAGCCTTGATATTTTCTAGAAAGCTCAATTTAGTCCCTTTGGCCAAAAATCTATGGACATAGAGAGGGTGTCAGGATCAGCAGAAGTCCTAAGGAAACAAGAAACTCACATAGCCTTTGTATGACGTTTTTCCTAGGCCGCTACATACGCACCAACCTGAACATGCCTCATAGCTTACCTCAGCGGAGTGGTGGTTTCCGGGACTACGAGAAAGATGCTCCGATCACTGTGTTTGGATGTATGCAAGCACGACTAGTGGGTAAGGGTCTGGGGGTAATTGCGCAGCCACTCCGGGCCACATCTTGAGAGCTCTGGTTCCAGTGGGCATGACAAGACACTTCCTAAGAGACTCTACAACTTTTCTACAAGTAGTAAATTTCCTCAAGGGATTTCTTATGTAACCATTTAGTTCAGGACACTGTGCTTGGCACAGGGCTGGTTTACCAAAATGTGTGATTTCTGTTGAGGGCATATGGTCCACTGATGGGGCGAGGTAAGGCTTGGGGCGGCAGAGAGATCAGCTTCTGGCACACGGTGGGGAGCAGGGAACCTTGGAGCGGCCAAATGTATGGAAGCCCATGAATCCTCTGAAGATACCCAGTTCTTTTCAGAGAACCTGCAACACAGAGAGAGCAGCTTTGTCCTATTCAATTAGCTAATGTGTGTCGATTGATCGGTTCTTTGTGCAAGGGACCGTGCTAGTGTTGGGGATCCAAGCATGACTCCCCACCCACAGGGCAACAAACTTGTAAGTACATAAATACCTTACAATCTGGTATCCAAAATAAAACCACACAGGAAAACAACACAAACAGTGTGCACGGCGCTGTGGAAGCACAGGGGGCCCGGATGGCAGGTGGGCGTTGCAGTCGCCTCCTCCCAGGGCCAGCCTGGAATGACAACTGAAGTATGGAGCAATGAGCCTGAAACCAACTGGAGACTAGCTGAACAGAAGTCTTACAACCAAGGTTTTACAGAAGAAGCTACATCTATACTAGTAGGAAGGGTGGAAAGGCAAAAACGTCTGGCCCTTCGCGCATGCATGGCAGTTGAGAATCTGGGGGATTATCTGAGCTGCCAAGGTCGCCCCTGAGGAGTTTAGGGCCTCCACCCTATACTGGACTTTCCAGCCCAGAGCACCACAGCCAGGAAGAAGATCCCACATAACATCTGGCTGTGAAAATCAGCAAGGATTCTGTCCACCAAGAAGAGAGGGGAGTCTGCTAGGGACGCAGGAACCCTCTTAAAGGGGCAACACACAAAAGCTCATTTTCAGCCACTCACCCTGGGCTCCCACAGCAGGAGGGTGGCTCAGAGCTGCAGTTGTGTGAGGATAGACTGGGCTGTGGTTTCGGAGAGAGGGCTGAAGGGACAGTCACCATAGTCCCTGTGCTGAGTCCCTCTCCCACGCTACCCGCAGAGGCCACCTTTCCTGGGTGGAGCACTTCCCTCCAGATGCCATCAGCCTGGGGAGACGCCATAGTCTGATGCCCCTGGCCCCCGTGGCCCAGGCTGCTGAGCTCAGGCCCGCCGCAGTCCTCAGTGCAGACCCTCTTGGCTGGCGCTGAGGAGGTCCGGGCCACCTTGGGGAGATGCTGAGTTCTGTGGCTCTGTGGCAGGGGCCAGTTTTCCCTCACACGCCCACTGGTGCTATGTTCCTGTGCAGAGTCCTACCTTCACAGGGCAAATCTTTCTTCAGGCCTGATGACTGCTGGCCTCACCCTTATGACCCCGAGACTACAACCCAATAAAAAGGTCAGCGGGTACCCGGCGGTTGGCAGCTATTCGTGGTATACCCTGTATCCTTTGCTAAGTAGCCTCTGATGCAGCACCAGGGCCAAGTTTGAATCTGTTTCAATCTGATAAACACCAACTGCACCTACCCGTTGATTCACTGAGACTGCCACTCACCTCACCTACTGCTAGAGGCTTTTTCAGTGACTCAGCCTAACAGGGAGTTGGCAGGCAAGGAAGGTGGAGCCAGATCTGAAGGTACTTGGGCTTTTTGCTGACCTTCCCCAGGGTTCGATAATGGTTGAAGTGGTCTTGGTGTACTGCTTAGCCCCTCCCATGCACACCTAGGTCCATCAGAGGAAGCCACAAACTGTGGATTATTTTGTAGCTCCAAACAGGAAGTCCAAGGTGTGACATTGACCTGTACTGGAGTCTCTCCCAAGAGGCCCCAGAACCAACACACAAAATAGTAGGCTTCAAATGACATCAGAGTACAAACCAGTTAGCTCCACACGTAGCACAGCCAAAATGGAGATCTCAGCAAACAGCAGACCCTGCTGGGGCAAATCTGCTTCATGGGCTCAGCCCCTGCACAGCAGTTAGTACAGTGTGGTCAAGGTCAACCCTCACAGTCAGCCATCCTGAGGGTCAATTCCACCCACAGATGGGCCAAAAACATTTGAGACTCAACTACAACAGGAGGGCTCAGATAACCCACACAAGGGACATTTTGGGAAAACCTAGTTCAGGTGATCAGGGAGACTGTGCCACTGAGTGCCACAGGACACCTACTACCAAGACGGGGAGAAAAAGCAGATCTACCTAATACACAGGAAAATATAGAAAGACACTCAGAATGGGGAGACACAGAAACATACCCAGAATAAGAGAACAGGAGAAATCCCCAGAAAAAGAACTAGATGGATTAGAGGCAAGCTATCTACAAGAAACACATTTCAAAATAATTGTTATGAGGATGCTCAAGGAACTTTGGGGAAGAATGGATGAGGCTAATGAGAACTTCAACGAAGAGAGATTGTAGCATAAAAAGGACATAAAAAGCAAAAAAGAACCACTCATAAATGAAGAACACGGTATCTGAAATGAAAAATATACTAGAAGGAATCAACAGCAGGTTAGATGAAGCAGGGATCAAATCAGCTATTTGGAAGATGAGGAAATACCCAATGAGAGAAGCAATGACAAAAAAGAATTTTTAGAAATGAGTATAGTTTAAGGGACCTCTGGGACATGAGTGTAACAACATCTGCATCATAAGAGTGCCAGGATGAAAAGAAAGAGATTGGGAACCTCTTTGAAAAAATAATAACTGAAAACATCCCTAACCTGGTGAAAAAAGAAGACACACAAGTCCTGGAAGTACAGAGAGTCCCAAACAAGATGAACCCAAAGAGGCTCACACCAAGGCACAGCATAACAAAAATGCCAAAGGTTAAAGACAAGGAGAGAGTCTTAAAAGCAGCAAGAGAAAAACAGTTACGGACAAGGGAGATCCCATAAGACTGTTGCTGATTTCTCAACAGAAAATTTGCCAACCAGAGAGACTGGCACAAAGTAGTTGAAGTGATGAAAAACAATAGCCTACAAACAAACCATTCTATCCAACAAGGCTCTCCTTTAAAATTAAAGGAGAAATAAGATCTTCCCAAAAAAGAAGCTAAAGGAGTTCATCATCACCAAACCAGTATTACAAGAAATGTTAAAGGACTTCTAAAAGGAGAAGAAAGAAAAAAGAGTTATATAAATATAAATAACAAAATGGCAATAAATATGTACCTATCAATAATGATTTTAAATGACAATGGTTTAAATACCCCAATAAAAAGTCATAAGGTAGTTGAATGGGTAAGAAAACAAGACCCATATATATGCTGTCCTCAAGAGATAGCTTAATCACTTCAGATCAAAAAACAGACTGAAAGTAATGAAAAAAGTATTTCATGCAAATGGAAACAAACAAACAATAAAATCTGGGGTAGCAATACTTAGACAAAACAGACTTTATAGAACTGACTGGTATGGCTCACTTCATTGGGTGTCATCCTACAAAGTGAAAGATTGCTGGTTTGCAGTCACATGCCTTGACTGTAGGTTCAGTCCCTGGTTAGGGCATATTGGAGAGGCAACTGATTGATGTTTGTCTCTCACATTGATGTTTCTCTCCCTTATTTTACTAAAAATAAGTAAAATCTTTAAAAAATAAACTTTATAACAAAGGATATAAGAGATGTGGAGGTGGGTGGGGCAGGGGAGAGTGGTGGTGGGTAAATGGAGACAAGTATTGGAACAATAAAAAATATTTTTTAAAAGGAGCAAGAAAAGATGCAGTGATAAAGGGTTCAATCTGACAAGAGGATATAATCCCTGTAACCATTTATGGAACAACACAGGAACAAATATTGATACACTTAAAGAAAAGATCAGCAGTAATACTGCCATAGTACAGTACATTTACACCCCATTGACAAAAGACAATGAAAGGAAACAGTGACCTTAATGACTCACTAGACCAGATGAGTTTAATCAATGTATTCAGATAATTTCACCCCAAACAAGCAGAATATACATTCTTTTGAAGTGGATATGCAAATTTTACAGGATTGACCACATAGACCACAAAACAAATCTCAATAAATTTAAGAAGATTGAAACCATATGAAAAATCACTGAACAAAATGATATGGAACTAGAAATCAATTACAAGAAAAAAATGGAAAAATATACAACCACATGAAGGCAAATTAACAGTTTACTAAAAAAAGTTAACAATGATATAAAGGGAAAAATTAAAAGATATCTTGAGACAAATGAAAATGAAAATGCAACAACCCAGTATCTATGGGATACAGAAAAAGCAGTCCAAGAGGGGAATTCATAGCAATACAGTCCTACCTCAAGAAACAGAAAAAATTTCTGATGTTATACTTAAAGGAAGTAGAAAAAGAACAGACAGACCAAAGTGAGTAGAGGGAAGGAAATAATAAAGATCAGAACAAACATGAATGAAATAGAGTCTAAAAAAATGCAAAAGATAAACAAGATTGATACATCTTTAACCAGACACATTTTAAAAACGGGACAGGACCTTAATAAATAAAATCAGAAATGAAAGAGGAAAGGTGATAACACAGAAGTACAAAGTATTATAAGAAAATATTACGAACAACTACATTCTATTAATGGGACAATCTTGAAAAATATATAAATTCCTAGAAACATGCAATATGCAAAGACTGAATCAAGGAGAACCAGAAAATGTGAACATACCAATAACAACTAATGAAACTGAAGCAGTAATAAAAAAAACTATCAAACAAAACTCCTGGATAGGATGCTTTCACTGGTGAATTTTACCAAACATTCAAAGAAGAAAGAACTAACACCTATGCTTCTCAAACTATTACAAAAATTCAAGAGGAGAGAAGACTCCCAAGCTTATTTTACAAGGCCAGTATTATCCTGATTCCATAACCAGAAAAAGACACTACAAAGAAAGAAAATTAT